TGCAGAGGTAATACTATGCACAAAAAACAAGACAGCAAACAAAGCAACAAAAGAAAACAAAACAACAACAAATGACCAAAGAAAACCAATAGCCTATAAATAGTTCAAGGTCTGTTTGTTGACCTTTACGAATGTCTTCCGGTGGAATCTGATGGGGTGCCACTCCCTAGCCCCAAAGTCTATATTTGGTATTACCTCAAGACTTCCTTGCTGTTCCGTTTCAGGTCCTTAGTATTTTGTCTCGGTGTGGTAGGGTCAGATCGGGTGCAATTCCTGCACTGTGTCTCCATTGTTGCCCCCTATAGGGCTATGGGTCAGCTAGGGATGTTGTCTCTCCTAGTGGGGCTGGCCATATGGTCCTTTCTGTGCATTGGCTGTTCTGAGCAGGCATATTGTCCTCAAGGCTTGGTGGGACAGGGTGTGCTCCACTCTCTCTTCCTCCCCCTTCATTTGCTCTTGTATGTTCTGATCAGTCATGTCCCTCTCCCTGAGCTGTAGCTTCAGGCAGTGAATTCTTTTAATTAATTTTATTTACAGTTGAAATTGGGCTGTGCTTTCACTAGGAGCAATGCTAAGTTCCGATGACTTGCGTAGTTGTTTATAGTACTGTGGTGGTGAGCATGTTGCTGTGATACTGAAAGCTGTCCTGGTTGTCAGCAGCAGGGTCACCCATAGTGGACAGGTTTCAGCAGAGCTTTCAGACTGATTAGAGTAGGAAAAAGGACTACTTTTTAAAAAGAAAAAAAAGGGGGGATGGTTAGGGGGTGTTACTTAGAATTGAGAATGGTAAGATTTTTCTTTTCTTTTCTTTTTTTAGTTAATCATTTTATTGGGAGCTCTTACAAATATCATAACATTTCATAGTTCAATCACATCAAGAAGCATTATTCAATTGCTACCACAATCAGTTTCAAAACATTTTCTTTCTTCTTGAACGCCTTGATGTCAGCTCCCCTCTATCCTTCCCTTCCCATCCTTATTTTTCTTCCCTATAATAGTCTTGTTTTTGTTTGTTTTGCCACATCTTACACAATCCAATATATCCATTCATCCACAATTCTGTATAACCCCCAGTCAATCCTACAGCTCCCCTCCCCCTGTCTTCCCCCACTCCCTCTCACTTCCCATATCCTCAGGGAACCATTATTCCTGTTACTGTTTCTGAAGGGTTAGCTGTCATAGCTTTCCTGTCCTGAAAGATCTTAAATATACAGATGAACATACACAAATCTAACATGATTAAGAGAATGGTCAGATTTTGTCTCATGTACTTCCTTTGGACATGTTATCAGCGGAGACCAGATCCTGGAGAAGGACTTCTTGCTGGTAAAGTAAAGGGTCAGCAAAAAAGAGGAAGACCCTGAAGGAGAGGTGGATTGACACCGTGGCTGTAACATGGGCGACAACATAGGAACATTTATGAGGACGGTGCAGGACTGAGTGAGCAGTGCTTCATTCTGGCTCCTATGAACTGTGGCTAACGTGACAGCACCTAGCAGCAGCTGCAGCAACAGAATCAGTTTATCTGTGACCCAGCTTGAAGCTCAGTCCTTAGTCTCTTCAGTGGTTGGAAGCTGGCAGCTATTATTGTAATCGCAGCTGGATTGAAGAGAACCTAGTAGTGTTGGCATTTGCTAAGGCATATGGAAATGTATTCAATCATGAACCTTTGCAAGGAATGACTTAATATATTAATTTTAAGCAGCTGGTCATGAGCAGACAGTCGTCTGTGACTTAAATTATTATATTCAGTTTTATTAATTTGGTTGAAAATGAACTAAATTGGATGTTTTTTTTAAGTGGATAAGACGAGTTCTTAAAATCCACAATGGGATTTGCAGGAATCTGGAAGAAAATAGCCAGAACAAAGAAAAAGGGGAAATTCAGCTGTTAATTCGTGTTTGTCTTTTTAATACATACATTGTAAATGTTACTCCTTTCATTAATTGTCACTTAACTTGTTCCCCTGTTATCTTTTTACCATAACACTGGGCTTTTTAAGAAAGTATTAAATTGAATCATTCACTTTTATTTGCCAGGTAATAATGAAAATTTCTTCCCCAAATGTCGCC